TTTAGGATTGAGACCCCAACTGGCCAACGGTCTATTCCATCCCATGCACAGCATGGCCAGGATAGAGATGAGGATCTGTCCAGAAGTGCTCGCTCTTGCTCCAGGTTGTCTCCCTCTGGGTCACCCCTCTCTCAAGGTCATCTCCGTCTCTCGGACACTCGGGCTCTCATCTCCATTCTGGGGTTGTGGTTTCAGGACTCTTCCTGCTCCGGGATCATTAGCTGGAAATGGGCTGAGCATTTGTATATATTTGTATATTGGTATATATTAGTATATTGGTATATATTACTATTATTATCATCATTATTACTATTTCCAATATTATTGTAGTTTAGTTACTAAATTGTTCTTATTTCAACCCACAACTCTTTTTTCTTTTTTGCACTTTACAATGAATAATTTTTCAGAAGCAGAACTTCATCTATGTCCAAAAGCGCATACATAAATCTTAATTTCCACATTCCAGTTTTTGAAACTTCTCTTTGAGTGAGTTCTGCACAAATGCATGAAAATACACATCTGAAATTGAAGTTGTGGACTTCTGTTCCTAACAGGTTTGGGATTTAACTGGCCCTACACCAGCCCAGCTGCTAATCATGTCAGTAAAGTGTGGGGTTTCCTATCACTTTCTTTCTCTGCCTTTTTCCCTTTTAATTCTATGTTTCCCCTAAATATAGGTTGTCCTAGATACAATTTGAACCTAGATGGGGAAACAGCATGTTTGTGGCTCAATTTCATCCTCACATATGAGGACACATTTCATAGGGATTTTGTTCAAGTCAACTTCTTTTTGCAAAAATAATCATCTTAATTCAGGATGATACCTCACCTTGTCCATGGTTATCATGCAATAATTATGTTCCCTCTGTAAAACGACTTCTCGTCTGCTCCTTCTCTGCTTTCTGTGTCGGTGACAATGGGGAAATGGTCAAACAAGAACTGAAAAATGCTTTTGTGTCAATGAACACTGAGATTATTGTACGTCTGATTGACAAAATGTTTTCTGCACACCTGGACTGTCCTGCCTTATGAGTGAGGCTTCGCTGCTGCTGGCAGAACTCTGGCTGTTTGCTGGGGCGCCTGCTATTATATAGATAAAAAGTGAAAGTAAAATCTGATTCCTGAGAAGAAACTCATGGGAAACAAAGAATTACTCACCTTCTCCTCCTCCCTTCCTGCCTGCAGCTGGAGCTGAAATCCGTTTCCCTTTCCCTAGGCGCTCGATTCGGTTTACTTCACCGGCTTTGCCGAGACCAACAAGAGCTTTGTGATCGCTCGTCTGGCCAAACGTCCCAATGGGATCTGCGAGATGTGGCTCTTCCTGAGGGTGGATGGAATAGGAGAGTTTGAAGTAAGTAGTGGACGTGGGATGGCATTCCAGAGCAGTGCTTAACTCCTATCCTGATCCCATGGTAGGATCCCAAGCAAAAATTAGTGTTCTCTTCACTAAAGTAACAATCTGAACAGTAAGACATTGGTACTGAATCTAAAGGCAGTGGAAGAAGTGGCCAGATTACAGGTTATGTCTAATTTTTTGAGTAGGTATCTGACACCCATTCCCTTTTTCCCGTAATGTGCACAAAACACAGCATATCTTCTAAAAAATGTCTTGGTAAGTCTCCTAGGAAGAATGTGAGCGTTCAGTATTTCGGATAATGTGCAGCACATGGTTAATTGGTTACGTTGTCTGGTTATAGTTGATTTTTTCCCCTTTTCTAATGAGTAAATGCTATAGACACCATTGTGGAATTGCCTCTTTCAAAGAGCAAGGAAAGCTTTTAGGAGTTATATATAACTCTGCTTCATTCTTGATAAAAAGAAAAAAGTATTAATCATATATTTTGCCTGTGGATTTTTTTTTTTAATAGCTGACTACATAGCAAAGGAAGAGGGAAGATCTGGCATAAATAGCTTTGCACTCAACTAACTATTTTTATTCTCACAATGTTGTTTTGCTAAGTGGCCATGACTAGAAGAAGCAGGAGACATCCTATTCGCAGAAAACCAAAAAAAGAGAAGATTGACGTGCATTGTTTGGTTTTCCAGGAATATTTAGTATAATGATACTACTTCATGGCTTTGTTACTCAGAACTGTCAGCAAGAGGCATAAGCTCTCTTTTAGAAAGGTGGCAGCTTTAGCAGACAAGACATATTTTTCAAAGAGCAGCTGGGCTTTTGTGAGCTTGCACGCATTAGACATTTTTAGAGTTTCATCACATTCAGTCTCAAACCAAATGGCTCCCCAAGTCCTGCAGCAGCTTGGCTGTAAGGTTGACAGAGTCACTGGCACAAGGAGCTGTGACCTCCCTTTGCACAAAGAATTCAGTTGTATTATCTGAAACAATGATGTGTTCTCTTATAACTCAGCTATTTGAGATGCATTTTCCCCTCTCTAATAATCTGATTAGCAGAAGCAGGAGGAACTGAAAAGCCAATTAAATCAAATGTGCCTCCCGCAGAGGACCATCAGAGCAGGGATTCACCCGTGTTGCATCCTCACAATTGAATCAAGCAAATGTTTTCCTGAAATGCCTTTTTAGCACCCACAACATCCGAACATGATGGTGAGGGATGAATCTGAAGAGATCTGGAGTGGAGGAGGGCTCACCATGGAATACTTAGAGCCCCAAGCGCGCTGGAAAATAAGCTTCAATGGATTACTCAGGTACTGCAGCACTCTGTATTTTCATTTATTTACACCTAAGACCAAGGCTTTTTGAGCACTATCTGGAAATATATTGAACCAGTCTCCCATTGCATCCATTTCCAAGCATGTAGGAAACATTTTGCTGTTTGTTTAGGAGCAATACACAATTGTAGCGCTTTGCCTTACAGAAAAGGACCCTACCGACAGCAGTGGAGTGAAGAGGAGGGTGAACTTGTACCAGTTAAATTCTCTTTCCAGTAAGAGCATTTCAGTTTTGCTTGGGGATGTATAGTGAGTTCATGGGTAGAGAATTAGTTACTGTTTTCAAAGGGTCATGTGCACAAGGTAGCTGTCAAAGCAGCACATGATTTCTGGAGCAATGCTGCATTTGTCCCTCTGAATAAACGCCATGAGAAAAGCAGCATGCCCTGCCAGCTTCCCTTCCTAGCTAATCTTTTGGATCTTGCAGGCTGTTGTTGCTCTTCTTGGTTTCCTTTTGTTTGCTTCCTTCAAAAGTAGTAACATATTTAAAATGTGACAAAAATCAGAATTTTCCAATAATGATAAAATACAAAGATTGCACAGCTTAGCCTAGTATGACCTGCAAGCTAATAATGTCCTTTTATTTTTTCCCCTCTTTTCCTAGTTGGGAGAACTTCACTGAAGTCTTTAACTTCAGTGTTGACAGTCACCCCAGCACATTTACACGTGCTCTTGCCCAGGAACCGTGGACCATCGAGTTCTTCCAAAGGGTCAAAAAGTGAGAGGCGAGATTAATTTCTTCTAGAGTGAACAGTCATTTTTCTGCTGATCTCTTCAGAGTCTGTCGTGTGTTGTTTTAGGTGATTTTTAGGAGGTGGGTTAATTTGAAGTAATAACTGGGAAATGTAAAAGTGGTTTCTGATGTGTAAAATCCAGCAGAGCCATGATCCAGGGTCTCTGAAATCTCCCCTTCGTTTTGGGATATAAATCCATCAGATTGGCACTTTGATTCTGCCTTGTTGATTTTGCATGTTATCAATTCCCTCTTTTCTTTCTCCCAGGCAAAGGGAACAACATTTCCGACACGAGCAGTGGGGCCAGTCTGTTGGAGAAATTGAAATAGAAAATCATGAGAAAACCCAGCTTTCCCTCAAAGGCGTTCGGAGCCACTCTTACGGTAACAGCACCGGGAGCTGCTCACTCGCTTGGCTGCCTTCACTGTAGCTGGTACTGGCAGGACAGTGGGACTGAAGATAATCTTTAAAAATAACCATTTTCATCACTGGGCATGAAGTTAAGGCATCTCAGAGGAAAAATCATTACTGTTTTTGGGGACATGCATATGCTTACCATGTTATCAGTTACTGGATATTTTTTTTCCAGAGTTCGTGTCAACTCAGGTGCTGTTAGTTCATGTTTTTCCAGGAATGGTGAACTTCAGGTTGGGTAACTTTGTTCTTTTTTGCAGGTATCCGGGATTGGTCTGAGATTTACCGCTATGTCATGATTTTGGCACACTTTGAGGTAGGTCTTAACATACCAATATGCTACTTAACTATGAAAATGGAGGTGTTCCTGAACTTGTGGGTCATATTTGAATAACCAGAAATAAGGCACTGGGAGCATGCATGGTGTGCAGTCAGATGTGCTAACTGGTGCCATCATTTGTACATAACTGTTGGGAGCAGCTCTCAAAAACAGAACCATGTGTGTAAAAATAGATTTTGCAACACTGGTTGAACCAAAACTTGTTTTGATAACTTGAAACTGTTTGTTTTGTATTTTTAAAGAAAAAATAAAATAGATAGGCAGCTTTACAGGACAGATTCTCAGCTGCCACAAATGGAGCTGGTGCAGTGCTGATTCACACTAATTGAGAGCCCAAGGTGTTTGAAGGCATCCTAAGCCTTCATGACAACAGTCAGCAAATATTTCTGCCTGTGCTGAGCTATAATTCTCTGCTTTGCCGGTGTGGCTGTGCCGGAGGAGTGTCTGTGCTGTGGCTGCTGGGAGCACCCAGCCAGGGGAACTGGTGAGTGCTGGTGTTGCAGGCTGGTGTGCAACCTCCACAGATGCTCCTGAAAAGGCATTTCCTTTGCCAACACAGGCATAAAGAAATCTGAACTCTCTATTATAGGCAGCATTACAAGAGATAAGGCTGAATCTAGAATAAAAGTTATTTTCCTGGAAAAAAAGCCCAAAAACACACCTTGGAAAATCCCAGCCCTTTTAGTAAGACTGTGCTTTTGCCCTGTAATGTGGATAATCAGGCAGTAACCTCTCCCTTTTCTTCATAGTTATCCAGGACTCCAAATGACTGTGTCTCTTCCTGTCCTAATTAAAAGCCAGCTGGCTGTTTGTTGAGAGGGAATTAAAGTTTATCACTGATTGAAGTTTGGAGCCTGTATATATATATATATATATAACATCACAGCATAGGCTTGGGTTTGCCTTAGGGAAGCCCAAGTGGAGCATGAAGGGATTCAGAATGGGAGAGAAATGAGCAAAAACCCCATAAGATTCCAGTTCCTTCTTATTTAACATTTTTCCTGTGTGTGGCTCACAGGCATAGAATAATATAGGTTAGAGGAGATGTCTGGTCAAAGCAGAACCAAGTTGGATGGGTTGCCCATCACTGACGTCTCTCCATGTATTGTTTCCCTCCTCCTCTTACATCTGTTTGCTGTGGACTTTCTGTTGACCTTAATGTCTTTAATGTGTCTGGTTTATATTCTTGGACTCTCATTTGCAGCCAGATTTTCATGGAAGATGTATTGAGAAGATGTAAAAATGTATAGCGTATGGTCTGCACAAATGAGACTGTTTTTTCTTTATCTCTCTCTTACAGGATGGGACTGCAGCCCATTTAACAGTTATTAACATGCCAGCTACCATGACTAAGTAAGTAACTAAGGAATTTTGCGCTGCTAAAAACATCCATCTTAAAGGTGGCAGAAGTTGCCCTGCAGGACACCTATATGCACATTCTTGCTTTGAGCCTCTACAGCCCAATTTTCATCCACACCCTCTGCCCAATTTTCCATGTCCCATTAGTCACAAGGACACATTTTACCTTCAGTTACTTCCTTCCCATTCAATTACTGTTTGGCTGATGCAGCTGCCCATCTTGCAGTCTAGATAAAGGTACCAATTGGGCACTTCCAGCTATTTAAGGAGGTGTGTCCACCACATTACACAATTGCAGTCTAGATGGTTTAAAGGTACCAATTGAGTGCTTCCATCTGTTTAAGGAGGTGTGTCCACCACATTACACAGGGAATCCTGCCTTGCTGACTGGTGCTGTCTGCATCCAGAAGCTTCAAGAAGAGCATTCATGGCCCTCTGACCAAGCTGGACCCAGTGACCTGCCTGTCCCACCTGCAGGCAAGGTCATATCCATCCTCATCTTTCCTGCACGCGTGGCTTTCCCCGCTCAGCATTTGCAACATCCCACAGTATAACCTGTTTCATTTTGCTCTCCAGGGATGAACTCCATGCTCAGCATTGAGCTCCCCTGGAAGGCTGGTCCATTTGAGTTTTTAACTTTAATTCTGCTCCATTTCTTTCCCCTTCAGCCTTACCGTAGGTTATGTCTTTTTCCCTGATGGGAGGAAGGCTGGCATTGAGTGGTCCAACGCCTCGCTGGCTGAGATGGCTGATGATGGTGTTATCGGGGATGGATATGGAGTCGGTTTTACTGCTGGTAAGCTGCCGGTAGCCTGCCTATATCTGCTTTCAGCTTTTTGGTATGCAGGTAATCCCTGCAATCCTTGGAGCAAATCTGAAGGATAAATACATCCTCTTACACCCTGAGAAATTTACTTCTCTGCTTAAGTCATACGTGTAGTGTGGCACCGGTGGGACTGCAGAATTGGGGCCATGGGCAGCTGTCTCAAGGGAGAGTTACAGCTTCTGTGTGTGGTGACTGCTGCTTATGCTCATCCAGATAAATGGTGTGATTTTCACTTTTCTGGGTGTCAAAACATATGTGATGAGGTGGATTCAGCTGCTGTGACTGGATCATATTTTACTTAATTTACAAAACAGACAGGAAAACTCTTGCTCTTTAGAAAAACATTTAAAAATCTGGAAAAATAATAGATCTTGAGAATCTTTGAGAGAAATACTATTGAAGGTTGGAGACATTCTTCCCTTTTTGCTCTTACCAAAGGTGGCAGGCACTTCGATGTTTCCGCAGCGCTGGATAAGCAGGTGTGCCCCGTGGTATACAACGGCCTGACTGGAAGCGGCGTTTTCCACGAGTGCATTGCGGATTTCCAACTGAACGGGTTAACACAAGGCTGGGGCTTGGTGGAGTTTTATTACAGGTAAAATAATTACAGGCAAGAAGAGGTAAAGAATCCCCATCCTCCTGTAGTGACCTGTGTGACTACAGCTCCATAGATATTGAAGCATAAATGCACAGATTTTCTTATCTGATGTAAAGTTCATTTCGTGCGTAATGTTGTTATTAAATTGACAAACAGGATATATATTATTTGAAAAAGAATGACTGTGCAAGCACTTCATATGTGCAGACAAACCATGGGCACTTGTTCAGTTGCTTGTTCTATAGGTTTATATAGGGGTTTTTTGTAGGTCTCCATATAGGTTTATGAGTTGGTGGATGGTCCATTCTGGAGACTGTCCTGTGTCATCTGTCAGATTATAAAAATAATGAGTCCTCTACCCCAGCCAGCAGGCTAACTGTTTCCAGGGTGACATTTGCTCACGTAAGGATTTGTCAGACTAGAGCACAGAACAGAGAAATGATCAGAAAATCCATATGGGAATGCCTCTGCTAGGGAAAAGGATTATGTTGACAAAATATGTGCTTTGCAGTGAATTGATGATTCTCCTGCCATGTGATTATCCCAGTCTTTTACTGGAGCCTTTTCCCTATTGAATCTTTTCTTTAATGAAAAAAAAAAAAAAAAGGCCAGTTGGGTTGTTTACATTTAGATTGCTTTTTAAAATAAACACTAAATCTTGCCTGTCAGAGGAAATGCCATAGATGACTTTCAGGAGATTGAGAGCTCAGCTTCTCCTGAAAACCAGACACATTTAAAGCACATTAAATAGGCCACTAAAATCCCAAACAGCCGCTGGTTGAGCTGGAAAGCTGTAGCCTGTAGCTGCTGCCAGGTACCTGCTCCGCTCCCTCCACTGGTGGTCAAAACCTGGATGGTGGAGGAGGTGACCCAGGACAGAAAGTCTCTGCTAAAACCCAACCAAGTCTGGATGGTTCTGGATATTTCTAGATCTGCCCCAGCAAGGTTTAATTTGTCAATGCTGACAAAATTCCTGTAGGCTCCCATCTCGTCTCTACTTCCAAATCAAAACCGAGTTAGAAATTAAAGGGTGGGTGTCTGGTTCTTTCCCCTGGCAGCAGAATGCCAGCTCAGCATCGCTGCTCTTCTTGCAGGGACGAAGCCGCCCAGCTGGTTCCGAATTTGCAGCTTGGTTCAAAAGCCGAAGGACCCGACCTTTCCTCCTGGCTCCCTGCGACTGACAGCTCCCCCCCGTGAGCATTTGCAAGCTTGTCCCAGCGATGTTAGCAAGCAGCAGCTTTCAAAAAAAAAAAAAAAAAGTTATTCCCTGCAAAACGCACAGTTAAGGGTTTGGAGACAAATGAGAGAGATCCTTTTTAAGTTGTGCAGCTCTTA